GGGCACTTAAGCCTTTGGATCCTAACTAATTCACAAATAGATAATGGCTAGAAATTGAGGAAGTCCTAAGGTTTTGGAAGAAAATCCACTCACATGTGTTGTGAAAGGGAGCAGGTAACATTAGAACCATTTGGAAATATGACTGGGTGCGTTTACACGAGACACTAAAAGTGCAGTAGACTAATTCTACGATGCAATAGCATGGCAGGCAAAAACCACGGTAATGCCCTAATGTGAAGTAGAATTAGTCTACTGCATATTAGCAACACAAAAAGCATGCACCTGCACTACTGCACAGTAGTGTCAATTATGGCACACTAAATTAGTACCTGTTATTACAGGTACTAAACATAATGTGCCATAATTATGATGCATTAATGAACATGTAAATGCATCCATTGTGTTGCTTTGTAGGGTCTGTGTTACCCACCTCCCCGTTCCTAGCATGATGAAGATCATGTTTCTCCTTTTTCTGCCTGCTCTGCCAACACACTCTTGATGCTAGTTACAGGCTTGGAAGCAGCAAGCATTTGCTGCTGGGGACTGTGATTTTAGGCGCTGAACTTGCCAGAGAGAAATCTACCCAGGGACTGTGAAGCTCTTGTTATACACAATCACTTGGAAGTGGAAAGAGGATAAAGTCCAGCTCTTGCATTTGCCCTAGTACTGACCACCACAGAGGAAAAGTGGTGCTGAGACTCCATAAACATGGAGCTGAGACTCCACAATTCAAGGGGGAACATATGCTGAGAGGCAGCAAGGATATTCCAGGACTTAGTCGGGATGGGTCTTATTGGGAAGAAACAGAGTGAAGAGGGAAGCAGGATGCCTGCTCAGGAGAGGAGAGATAATATCCTCTGCATTCCAAGGGTTAAAATAGTGGCAAGCTCCTTATGTAACACACTAGCTAAGTGTGCGCTGTCACCTCTAAGCTAGGTACAGACAGTAAAACAGCCCAAGGCTGGATCAATTCAGTCTTTCAGGTTAGTCTAAACTGCAGAGATTGAGCTAAGAAGCAAGTGAATGACATTCACTTTTGATTCTGGAAATGCAGCCACATGCCTGCAGTGGCTCAGGCCAGAAGCTGGGGGATGCTAGAGCATCCTCCCAGCCTGCCAGCCAGTGCCAAAGGGATGGGACTGGAGGTCCAAGGCTTTCCCCCCATTCCTCCTCGAGCAGAGGGGGTGTGGCCAGGGCCCAGCCTGGAGCCAGCATGCTGGAGGGTGGGGTTTTAAATCCCTTCCCTGGCCCACACGAGACCCCAGCCTGGGTCTGCCTGGGCCAGGGGGCAATGCCTGCCAGGCTTCTGGCCCCCCACTTGAGATGCAGGGAAGGCAGCCCTGCCAGGCTGATGAGGGGGTGGGTGGGGCAAAAGGTAGTGGCATTGAATTCATAAAAGTTTGAATAAGAACAGTTTCTCTGAAGCAAACATGTATTGAACACATCACTTTGCAACCTCAAGCCCACAACAAAGAACAACCAAAAAACTTTGCTTACGCTAAGATACAGCCCAGTAAAACACAGTGCGAGCACACATAGCTTAGTCTAACTTTACATGGAATATAATAAACCAAAAAGACAAGACAAAGCCTTGCATCAATCTTACGTAATCCCAAGGACAGAGTGTCTCCTTACAGCCAGGTGTTCAGAAAGTCCTTCTTGGGGAATCAGCAGGTAGTCTTAGGCATTGGAGTAGAGAGCCCACAAGCCTTATCTCTACCTGGGTTTTTACAGGCACACTTGCACCCCCTTCACCCCTTTGGGTGCCTTGACATTGGTATGCTTGTCACTGTCCTATAGCACCTTTGGCAGCACTCTCATGCATTTAGCGTCTTTTGTCTCTGCTGAGGTATTCCAGTCTCCCACCTCTTACAGGTTCTGCTTTATAATGTAAATGTAGTTCTCTGCTTCCTTTGGTCACAGCAGCCCAAGCAGTCCGGGACACTCTCCTGTTCCCTTAGCTTCATCTCCAGCACATACGTGTGACGATTGTGCCAAATACTTGCCAACACCTCCCACCTCTCAGTCTGGTCCTGCAGGGCTTGGCTCTGTGCTCACAGGTGGCAGGGGACCAGTCCGTCCAGCCCTGATTCCCCAGTCTCTTCCCCCTCCCCCATGGCCTGGGGAAGCTGAGAAGAATTATGCCCCCTTGCCCTATCAACTGCTTGCCTCAGTCTCTGCCAGAGGTGGGAGGGGATGGAGTTTGCTGGTCTCCTGCCAACCCCCTGCCAAGCAGACCCCGGCTGAGGTCCCATACCAATGGGAGAGGGGATTTAACCACCCCCCCTTCTGCTTGAGCCTGCCTGCCCACACAGCCAGTCTCCTCTGCTCCAGCAGGGAAAGTCTGACTGGAGCTGCACCCCCCACCCCCAGGTAGACTTGGCTGTGGTCCCCAGCCAGGTTTCCCACCCCCACCCCCTTGTCAGCCAGTCCTCACTGCTCCGGCTAGGGAGCAGAGGGGCAGAGCCAACCCTGCTCTCTAGAGCAGACAGCACAGCCCAGCCCAGGGCTGCAAAGGATCCTGGGATGCTGGGGGACTGTGATTTAACTTGAGCCAGGAAGGAGTCTGGGACAGAAGTTTCCTAATCTGGTTTGACCTAAATCAATTAAGTCTGATACTACATTCAACGAGGTTTATCTTAAACCAGTTTCAGCTATTTTGAAACTGGTTTATGTGCACTGAGCTTCTGTTCTGTTACAGGTTTAAACCAGTTTCTGACCACTTAAACCAATTTATGTGTAACTTCTGTCCCTAGCCTAGTGGCTTTACCACAGAGGGGATAACAGGCAACTATCGCTATTGGTCAAAGGAGTTGCTCCTTTAGGTCAAGACACTTATGATTTGGAGTTAGAAGTCTGAGAGTCAGTTCTCACTGTTGATGCGCATTAGGTTTCACTCCTGTTGATAATACAGCTTGCAACAAGTTTACCCCCTGTACTATGAAATCCTGTTATGTGTTGAATGGTCTAGTTAAAACAACATACTTCTGTGTGGACAAGATGCCTAGCTCCCAAGCCTGGCCTGCGAATCAAAGTGGAGAATGCATTAGTAACTCAGCAGGGTTCAAGTCTGCTTCCCCCTGTTTACTGAAAATATTCACAGCATCCTGTTATTGGGAGTGTAAATGAGAAAAACGGGTTCAAACATGCCAGCTGAGGAAGCAATTTTGTGTGCAATCATCCATCCTGAACTTGAATCCACCTCTACAATTCTCTCAGGTTCTGGGGCTCAACAAAAGGGTTTTTTGCAAGGGAATTAGCAAGTCTTTCGGATCAGCGGTTTAACATCCAGTGAAAGGGAATGTGGGCACTTCCCCTCCCATGCGGCATCTAAAAACCAGATGCAACAGCCAGTATGAATCAGGTGTGTGAAAAACCCAAAGGCAAATCCTGTCAATCATGACAAAGTTCCCATGCTTTAATCCCTTCAGCCCCATTAAAGGAAGAGAGAAAAGACTGAAGATAATTGTGTTTCAATTTTGTATCTCCTAATCGACTGTTGAGGACCTGTTTTCCCACAAAACAAGTTACAACTGGAAGGAAGTTCAAAGCCGACAGAAGGGTATGCTGAATAAACTCAGGAGGTGAGTTGCCCCGCAAGGCCAGTTGCTCTGGTGTGGGCTGTCTCTAGTAGCACAAGAGAAGATACTTATAAGCTATTTTGTTATTCTATTTTATTCTCCCAAACCAAGAAGAGCAGAAAGTCCTTTTTAAGAGATGGAGATAGGCTAAAAGTCTGTATCTGCATTTAAAAAAAATGTAGTCCCAAAATGATACTTTTATACCTTCCTACTTCTGAACAAAATTCACCTCTAGGCGCTGAGAGAGCACCCAAAAGGTCAGCGCCAATGATGAAATGGTTTTGAAAGTGAACGAGCATTGAAAGATAAGGGAGATTTCACTCTCTGGCATCAACATTAGCAACAGCAGGGGCAACCAGCGTTCCTGTGTGAAAAATAGCAAATCAATGATGCTGTGTCCTTTAAAAACAGCTTCACTTTATAACAAATGATAAATCGCTAGAAACGTAGGGGGAGAATGTTAAAGCCAAAGAGAAAATAAACAGCAGCACAGGGAGTAAGCAGAGAAAAAGAGAGGGAAGTGGAAAAAAAAGCAGGGAGAGGGGCAATGAAGAACCAAGAGTGATGGGAGGAGATGAGAGAGAGAGGAAAGGGGTCTAAAAAAGAGCAGAAGGTGCTTGAAGATGAAGAAATAAAGGTGCCAAGCCAGTAGTGGTTTCCTTCCAGTTCTCTCTATGCCCCGGTTGCTGATGCTTTGTGCTGTTAATATATTTAACATCAGTCCTAAAGTGCTTGAGATTTCAGCACTTAAAATGATATTTTATTTTAAAAGAACAATACTAACAAGGGGTACATCTGCGAAGTGCCCGATAACCTGACAAAGGGGAAACCATTTCCTGGCATGATTCATAATGAAGCTTAACCCCTGAACCTTCAGGAGACTCAAGGTTTACATCACAGAGAAGGAACTTCATAAGCAAGTTGCCACTAGGTTTCTACCTGATGCATCCAGCCCCACAAGGAAGTCTTCCCAGCAGAGACTCTCTCAAGCAGTGATGGCCATGCAGTACTGACGGACCAAGCCAAGAAGTGCCTATTAGGTGCACTTTTAGCAATGCCTTTGCAAAGTGGGAAGGAAACTATCCCCAGATTCTAGCAGACTTTCAGTCCAGGCGTCTGAGGGGCTGATCTTGTTCTTGCTTAGCCCTGGCTTAATCAGAAGAAAATAAGTGTCATAGTTCAGACACTCGCAGATCTAAGATCTCCCCCTCGGCTATCTTTGCACCCCCACCCCCCTCACCTGGAAGATCTCTTGACATCTGAAATCCCTAGATACCGCCCATGTCATATGATCCATAACTGCTCCTTTGTAGTTACCCAATTGGATTATTATGCATTATTTTGATCACCAACCCTAATATTTAAATGCAGTTCATGTATAGAGGTACACATGTATAGACACATGAGGGAGAACCATACCTTCTTGTGGAGCATTCTTGTCCCATACTGACCACATCTGCACAAAGAAAAATGGAGTCCAGCACACTATGAAAGCTAAAACTATGATGAAGGTCATTTTGACTGTCCGTATCTTGGCTTTAGAGATGAGCTTGATGCTGCTGACCCTGGACAGTGCTGCCCCACTGGAGTTGGTGGTCAAACTCATGTTGGTCTCATGGGCTGTCTTTAGTTTCACGTTCTGCCAGATTTTGAAGCTGATCAAACCATAGCAGACACTCAACATCAGCACAGGGATGATATAGACTGTCAAGGTTATCCAAGTAATGTAGGCTTTGAGTCCCCAGGGCTGGATGAAATCTGCCCAGCAGTCATACACCCCATTGCCCACATCCCGGAGGGAAAATATGTGGATCTGGGGGATGCTGACCAGCAGGCAGAGAAGCCAGGTGAGGAGGACAGACAGCCGGTCAGACCGCCTGTGCAATGACCTCAAGGGCTGACAGATGGCCAGGCACCGGTCCAGGGACATCAACAAGAGCATGTAAGTGGAAGCAAACATTCCCACTACTTGCAGGTACTTGACCAGGCGGCAGAGGAAGTCTGGCCCATAAAACCTGAAGGTAATGTCCCAGATGAGCTGGGGCAGCACCTGGAAGATGGCCACCACCAGGTCAGCGATGCTCAGGTGCTTCATGAAGTAGTACATGCGGGAGTGCTTGTGCCGGGTCGTGTGGATGGCCAGCAGCACACACAGGTTGCCAGTCAGGGCGAGGAAGAAGATGAGACAGAGCACTGCCACCTCTACCTTGGCCATGTCCTCATTTCTCTTCAGGGGGTCAGTCGTGCTGTTCTTCCCATAAGTCAGGTTCTCCAGGCTCAGGCTGGTGTTTTCTAGCGAACCATTGATAGTCCAAAGGTCATTCCCTGCAAAGTACAGCTTCTCCATGGCCAGCTCCTTCCCATGTATTATTTTGCAGCAGAGGGAGCTCCGGTGGGAAAGTCTTGTGCGTGTCCTGGTTACAGCCTCCCCTTGCTGAGGACCATGGCTTTCAGTTCTTCAGTGGTGGGTAGCTGCTGATCTGGGAGCTCACCCTTTTCTCCTGCATGAGCCAGAGGGAGCCAGGTTCTGCAGGCTCAGTCCTCCTGAGGCAGAGATGGTCTTAGCATCCAACTCCTCCCCCTACGGAGGCACTTGGCATGTCCTCAAACTCCTGCCCCCAAACAGAAACAAAGCAAGGCGTTACAGCAAATCAATATTCCTGTCCTCTCTCAGTAGCTGCATCTCCCTCTCACTCCCCAGCCTGCCAATTCAGTGCCGGGCCTTCCACGGCATTGATTTGTTTCTCTCCTACTGAAGTCTACATTGCAGGAACCTCTCATTGATCCCCCTCTCTTCCCCCCAAATTCACTTTATAGCAACCAAAAGCTGTAAGGGCAAGATGCTGAATCACTAGTACCCTGCATTCCCCTCCTCCAGCTGCAGGATGGTTTTCGTGTTTCTTAGCTTTGTGTGACAGACACCTGTATAGCTGGGGACATGGATCCATCGAAAACTTAGCTAACTCGAAAGGTTAGAGTCAGAAGGTCCCATCTTACCTTTCTCAGCTCCTCCTCTGAAAACTCCCAGCTTTACTGGCTGAAGTTGCTGTTTTCTGTTTAAAAGAAGAGCCCAGAAAAGATCTAGTTTAGGTGAGGTTCTCCCACAGCAAGACACCTGGCTGCTCCACAACTTTGCTCTCAAACGAATCCAAGAAGAAAGCAAGCAGCAGAGAGAGAGGAGAGGAGGAGATTAGAGTCAGCCCTTTAGGAGTCACTCATGGATAAAATATACTGCTGTTGGAGTGCATATACGTCCTGTACAAGTGCTGCATTTCCAGCTTTATCCATGAGGGGATGCAAGAGGCCAGTGCTTTACCAACTCCTACAATGAATAATTTAAAGATCAGGGAAGTGGATTTTGCCTATCAATTACTGTGATATCACTGCACCGGGCATTATTTGAGATTTACAATGGGGTAGTTACAGCATTAAAAACTGTGTCAGCGTTGGCGCCTTCATTTTCTAATAGATTAAAACGTAGTAAATGGAAAAAATAGTGTAAATAAAGTTCTCTCTCTTTTTCTCCCAGCAGTTGCATGCTATTGCTTATCTCACTGCAAGAAAGCCTCAATGTTTTATATATGGGCAATCTTTATCTTCCGGACAATGGGCAAGAGCAGTAACGATCAACAAGTAAACAATCAAAATAATTGTATGAATTAAAATTAATCTTTCCCATTGGGTCAATGCACATTAATTGCTTGCTTTCACAAAACCCCAGGCAACTCAAATTATCCTGGCTTTGCAGAAGCATGTGTATATAACTAGCAAACCTATAATAGAATTTCCTCCCAAGTACAGTTAAATGCAAGTCAGATGCACTGTGTAATGTTTTTTTTTATTTGTTTCTATTAAGTTTTCTTCCTTTTTTGGTTTTGATCCCACCTCATTATTTTCTTAAACAAGAGTTTGTCTCATTCCCCACACCCTGAGTAGCTGAGAACAGTAAAATGCATATGGGAAGATTTGAAGGGACTAGATGAGATGTTGTTTTCTTGACGTAAGAGTTTAGGATTGTGGTGAGACCTTTAAGAAGTGCCCCATCTGTTAGAGTGAACTGGAGCTGCAGATTAATTACTCTCTTTTGTGTTGACAATCAGAAACCAGGAAAAGAATGTCAAAAGCTAATGAAAAATGCCCATCATAACTAAAGCTTTTACTGAATAGCAGAGTACGCCCGTGCTTTGTTTCTAAGGGATTTCAGCTCCTAGCTTCTTTCTGTCCATGACAGAAAGAACCAAGATAAGGTCTTTGAGTTTCAGCTCTGGAATATTTTATCATATTTTAAAAATAATACTACTAATAATAAAGCTAGGATGCTTTTGTGGCAAGATTCTTAAAAGTGCTATTAAATTGCTTCAACAAATGAAAAATTACTATTTTGTAATATTCACTAATGCTTCTGTTCTTTTACCATATATATTTCAATTCCTAAGGGCCAGATTTTTAAAGCTATTTAGGCCTTTAAAAAACAGATTTGAAGTGTTGTTAAACATCTGAAAAATGTCAAAATTAGAAGTGGGCTAGAACTTTGGTATGTTTTTCCTCTAAGGTTCATGTTCTTCCTTGGTAATTGATAAGCTTTACTGTGGGAATTGGCAATGCGAAGCAATCACCAGACATGATATCTTTTTCATTGCTTTTTTTGCAAGAGCTATAGAAAATGGAAGTGACCCTGGGCAAAACTTTGACCTCGCTGAAATAAATGGGAGGTTTGCCATTGACTTCCATGGGCCAGAATTTCATCATTTGCGTTTTGCTTCTTGAACATATTGCAGGGTATAGAATAACGGTAAAAAAAAAATCAGTGCTTCGTGGTGAAATGCAAGTCCACTGTCTATTCTGTAACAGACAAACTAATGGGACTCTGTAATAGCATAGCTAATACTCTTTTTTTCTTGTAAAGTAAAGTAAGAGGAGACTTGACTCTAGAGTTACACAAACTCACTCTGATTGATACTCATTTCTTGGTAGAATATTAGCCAGGTTTTACCTGTAAATAAGTGTTAATTTAACCGTGTTTCTTAAAAGTAACTGTGTGGGACTAAATGTCTTGAAAAGCCACAGGCAATTCCTAACTGCGTTTTGTTTGAATATTGAACCACCCAAGTCAGACGTGGGAGATATCCTTTAGCATTCATCCAGTTTGTCTCCTTGCCAATGCAGAATTGTTCCCCGTGGTACATTTCTCTCTCATTCCATCTCGTCTAATTTAAATGCACACAAGTGGTTGAAGCATTAGTCCTTCAAGGTGAGGGGATTGCACATATCCTCAGATGACATTGCAAAACATTGAGCCTGCTCAGTTTTCAGTTTCTTTTTCCACCCCCACCCTCCCTTTCACTTTTTTTGCTGCAGTTTTACTTGGGTTGTTTTATTTGCTTTCTGCGTAGAAGTCAGAATCTCTTCCTTCTTGGTTGCCGGTCAGCTGGTTGTTTAGGTCAGACATGCCGTCAAACAAGAAGCTGAACAGTGATTACACATGGGAAACACAAAACTGCACAAAGAACAGATTTAGAGAGAGGACTCCAAGAAATGAAGCGATTTTAGTCCTACGCTGCTAACCCAGACCATCCCTCAGGAGGTTGCATTTCAGTGGCAGAAGAGAGGGGATAGGCCATAGCTCTCTCTCCCTTCTCCTTCAATATACTGACAGGCACCTCTGAACTAACACACCGGGGGGTGTAATTCTTCCCAGGTAGAAGGCCGGCAGCCATTACTTTCATCCCAGAGCAAGAACGACCTCCTGGAACAGGGCAAGTACATTCTGCACCTTTCCGCAAGCTCGAGTCCAAGCAACACTTTAGCTCTGTATATAATCAATGCCACCATCCTTGGGTGAGGAAAGTTATATAAACACCTAAAGACCATGTAACACGATAAACAGAGATGTGGCTGCACAGTACCGTATGCCCGCCCATGAAAATGGAGTCAGTAGATACACTCCAGTTTTATGCCAGCGTAATCAGGGCCTGGCTTTCAAGCTGTAACATGCATTGAGATCCTTGAGGATACCCAGCTGCAAGTAGCTGTGATTAATGGAGGTAACAGCTGGAAGAGAAAACTGTGTTTAAAAGTCATTAATTGGCCAAATGGCTGACAGTGCCAACAGGGAAATTAAAGTTAATGTGCGAATTGCTTAGGCAATGGGCTGAGGCCTCTCCAGCACCAAATCCTGAAATACTTATATAAGTATTTATATCTTATAAATCTCAACCATAATTGGCAGATTGGGCTGGAATTAGACAATGACAACTGGGAAGACACATAGAGGAAACCAGATGGCAAGCAGACTTGAGGAATATGTTAAGGAGGATTCCAGAAGGCAAACGAAGCAAAAGCAAGTAGCTTCACCACTAACTGACACAGGCAACAAAGAAACTGCTTCTATGGATAGGTCCTTCCACAATTATCAAATATGAGATTTTTTTTTTTTTTTACATCTTTCTCAAGTATCTGATGTTGGCCAAGGTTCTTGAGAGGACACTGGACTAGCTGGAGCACTAGGCTAGCAATGTGGAAGCTGCCAATACCAAGTGGGTCATTATGCTAAGCACTTTGCAAACCTATAATGAGAGACATTTATACCATATTGAGTTTATAATCCTAATATGTAAGAGAAGAAAAGGATGGGAATGGGAAACCAATGCAAAGAGGGGAAGTGGTTTGCCTGTAATGACAGAGCACGATACTGCCAAAGTTGAGCATGGAAGCCAGGTCTTCAAATTTCCAGTGTGCCCACCTCCCCTTAGAGATTATAATATCTCTCTTTTGGTAAAGGTCTGTGTTTTGGGGCATATTACCTATTTATGGAGCATATTATTTATTTAATGCCACTTTATCTCTCTATCTGCTTGCTATGGTAGAGCCCCATCTGAGCTGTAGAAATCTGGTGGACAAGTTCAACCTAGCAAGCAGCAAAGATTCCAGTTGGTACAGACAAAAACATAGCTTCATTGATTTAAAAGAAATGTAAAACACATAAACCAGGCTCCCATCAGCATGGTGTATGGGAATGGTTTAGACGAAGCGAAGCTCCTTCTGAGCACAGAGGTCTGCACACAAAGATCCAGACTCAGAGGATCTGTTGTATCCTTTCCCTTCAACCTTTCATGTGTTATGTGCCTTCTTGGATGTTTGCCACTTCAGCCTGGGGAGATTGATAAAAGTTTTCTCCTTGGCAGAGATCTCCTGGGTGAGCGTACAATAGATGGTGTTAGGGAGTCCATGGGAGACCAGACTCCCCCCACAATGAACCTTAGAGATGCTGTTGGGCAGCTATAAATTCCACTCCAAAGATACTGCATTTAATAGACCCTATACTAATGGAGACTCCTACAGTAGTATAGTAATGGCTCTCCACCTGACTCTAAGGGCTTGTACATGCTGTTTCCTCTCTGCCATGATTGGGACCATTACTGTGAAGCTGGCCACATCCACTTTTTCTTGTGCCATATGTACCAAATCCTGGAAATGAGGCCATGTCGCCACCTTCAAACTCCTCCAAGAGTGCACTAATAAGCATGGCAAAGCCAGGGAAGTAGTGGGCACACACTCGGTGCCACTTCAAAGGACTCATCTTTAAGAGGTGACAGGAGGAAGGAGCAAGTAAGCAGGGCATGCTATTTGACAGTGCTTCCCAGTGAGGCATGGCTCCAGTGTAGATATGCCCAAACACATTGTCCATGCCGATCTACAGGGGAAATGGAAGCATATACCCAGCTCTTCAAATGACTGCTGGGAGTGGCAGTCTTGCTTCATCTAGGTTCTAGTGTCTCTCTTTCTTTTTTAGAGACCCCAAATGCTTCAGCATCCAAGCTTTCCTGTGCTTGTTACCTGAACTCAAATGAACTTCCAGACACCTAAGGCTGTCTCACCCCTAGCTATTTACTTATGGCAGCAATAATACAATAAAGCACCTCCCACAAAAAGCACATTTCTCAGGGCAAGTTCTGGATAGCACAGGACTCAAAGGCAAAGGAAAGTGATTTTATCTCACCTTTTCATTTCCTCCATCCTGAGATCAGAGCTTGCTTATCAGCCAAGGGCTGTCAAAGCATTAAGCCACTTAGAGTTGAAGACTAAGAAATGAGGCATAGACAGTGATTTATTGAGGAACA